GATGTGGCTCCCCTGCTCTAGCTGGTCCTGCCTATAACTCCATGTGTTTTACCAGATGCTTTATGAGAGCCCCTTCAAACCTCAACCAGTCTGAAATTGTGTGGTTCTGTGACAGATACTGCTTAGTAAATTCACATCCTAGACATAATTACTAGAGTTTGCGATAAAAACAATGTTCATGCACTTTTTACGCTCATTTTAAATTTTTATGGATTTATATTATGTAAAAAATAGATGTAGTTATTTATCTATAAATATAAGGGAATAAGTAGACTGGAATGGCCACATGCTTAAGCTTATGTAACAGAAAGGTGGATCATAGCATATGGACACTACCAGCATCTCCTTTAGTGAAAGAAAAAACGAGACTTCTGCATAAAACTCAATTTAAAACATTTCTTACTCTGCTTCTCTCCAAGACCCTTCATCTGTGCACTTGTTCATGACAGCAGCATCCCAACACCTGATGTAAGGCAGGCGGGAATTTTTATTCAGCAGATATGTAAATTTTATGTTGATGAAGATTTTTGCAGTGCATGTCTGGAGATGTCTGGCTTGTACTTTTCAAATTCCCATTGCAGACAGAGTCTTGCTGAGCAGAGTAGTCTGCTTTAATCTTGGGCTCAGCAATTTGCCAAGGATTACATGATTTAGACTGTATTCATAAGTAAATCAGGACCTGATGAGACCCTTTCACTTTGTGTACTTAGAAGAAGGAGGCAAAAGAGATCTAATGCCATATAAAGCTAAGTCCATCTATTTGGAAATCTACAGGCAAAATTTTTTACTATCTTTTGAAAAATATAGTGGTAGACAGAGTAAACAAGGTCTGCAGAACACAGAGGTATGAGAAGAAAGCAGGTGAGGAAGATGCAGAGATATCTGAAGCATATTTTTATTAAGATGTTTGTTGAGACAGTGGGAAATAAAGATGAAATTAGGAAAAAAAATTTTACTGTGCGGTTTCAATAGGATTTTAAAATTAATTACATGGCATTCTTTGAAATTATTCAGAAAGATAAGCAGCAGTAGGATTGGTGAAAACCATGGGTTTGGATCTACACAAAAACTCCACAAAGCAAACCAATTTGCAACAAATGTGTCACAACAGGGGCAAACTGATGCTGGAAAAATTAACTTTTATTTGAAGAACTAAATCATACAAACAGGTGCACACAATCTGTAGTATTAAAGTCACTGTAGCATCTCTCTGCAGGACTTTTCTTCATGATTCATCCAGCTTTCATAGACGTATATACAAGTGATATACAGCACAATTGTTGGAAAAGATGGTAAGAAAATTTGTCAGAAATTAACAACTTTAAGTTGTGTGAGATGTATGAGATTTAAAGAATAGACTTACTGACAGAATTCAAGCTTTGCAGAGTAGTGGGCAGCTGAGAAGTTTTACCCTGTATGGAATGGGCATTAGAAACCAAAGACACTTGGCTGTGTTGTTAGCTGACTTTCTTGGCATCCTATAATGCCAGGATTGTCAAGCAAACTGCTTCTGGCAAGAGGTTTTTTTGAGCAATAATATGGGTATTTATATATGACAAACTTTATGGTCCTGTCATCACTGTTGGTTCGGCCACTTGCTAGGGCAGCTGAAGTGCTGTGAGAATATTATGTGCTGAAGAATAAATTATGCTGTACATGTCTACATTTATTTTCAGTGAATAGAAGGATTGATCTGCAGCACAAACCAATCTGTTCTGTAAATACAAGATAATATATACTCGGTAGTAAATGTGAAAGATACCAGTTCCAGACCAACTCTCTGTACTCAGCTCTTCTCTGGCATTGTTGCAGTTTCCTATGCCTAAAAAGCAGTTTTGACCACTAGAAATTCTATGTGTTCCTGAAATACTTGGTTTTTGTTTCAGCCAGCTTTTGTCTTCTTTCTCAAACCATTCACCCATTTTCTTTGCTGATGGACAGACTCTTTGCACAATAGCCTGGAAAGTATCTTAGGAGTTTCTAGCTTGTGCACAATATCACACAGAAAGTTGGTCAATAGATTATGTAATTTGGTATGTGGTTCCAAATTTGTGGAAAAAAACCCATATTAAGTCATACAAGTCAAACAAGACTTTTGCAAGGAGCAAGAAAGCCATCGTGTCTGAGTGCAATTTAGATGACTTGCTGGAGTCAGTAGTTTCTCTATGCAGTGCTTTAATAGCATATTAACTAGTGATAAACCTGACACAACTGGAAATGTTTATTCGAAATATACCATGTGAGACTGTTGCATCTGTCTACACAGCTGATCCTGTCTTTGGTGCTCCGTAATAGTCTTGCTTTGTACCTCACTTTTTGAAATGTCAATTTTCATTTCTAGATATTTCTCCCAAAGTGCTCAGGGTTCTATAGCACCCTAACTTTCATTGGCCAGGTATCTAAAAGTAGATATCCTATAAACTCTAGAGACCATGCAGAAAATGTTGCTTTGCTGGCTCTCATTTCAAAACTGTTTGTTTTCTCTCTGGGTCTAAGGGAGGATCAGGAGAAACAGAAGCTTTACACTTCCATTGAGTCTTTACTGGAGTCATTCAAGGCCAGGTTGTATTGGGCTCTGAGTAACCTGGTCTAGTGGTAAATGGAACAAGATATTATTTATGGTCTCTTCCAATGTTTACCATTCTATAATTCTATGATTTTCTAAACGATTTTCACTGAGTGATAACTAGCTACAACAGTATTTCCTTTGTCTTCCAATTTTTATTTAATCAGTCTAATGGGACATAGGAGCTGAAGTACCATTTTGAATGAAGACAACCCAAGTGTTATTATTATTAAAGTGCTTCAGATAATATTTTAAAGCATTTTTCCATCATACAAACTTTCTTGTCTATTAATAGAAATCATGCTTTTGCCAACAAATATCTTGGGAAGATATCTTTTCCCAATATACAGATGTCCTTTGATACACTGCAGTCTTTCAAGAAGAAAAAATTTCAGGAAATTTGTGACCTATAAGAATATGAGGGAAGAGACACAATTTGCAGTAAACACTGTATGGTGTTTACTGCAGAAAGAAAACAGAAAATGAAAATGCAGATAACACTAAAAAACAGTGTTAATGGAGGCAACTGTCATAACTGGTATTGAAATAACAACAAAAATTATTCAACTACGAGTTAACAGAAACAAAAGCTGCAGTTTAAGGTAGACTATGATGTTGAATGATGCACAATTTGCCTGAATCTAAGCTTAGCTGGATTTGATAATGTAATAAATGTTGGGTTGGGTTATTTTTTAATGTGAACTCACCTAGGTAAAATTTCCATGCACATTTGATCACATACATGTTTTCCAATGCAAAGACTGAAGACAAAAGAAGGAATATAAAAAGCAAAAGAACCATAATTATTTTCCAAAATTCACCCGTCATGTAGAACAAAAGTCTGAGCAGCCACAGCTATATTTAAAACAAACTAAGCAAAGACTGAAGAAAAGATTTCTTTCCTTCTTCCAGAAATATATTTATGTTGCTTTTTCATTCAGATTTCCATTTAAAGAAATGCCATTTTAATTGGCATAATCTTTTGAAGCAGAACATTTGCCACTTTTTAAACAATAACCAGGGAACAGACATAGCATGTGTAAATGTGTGCCATTTGTTTTTCCTCACCTAGCACCTAGTTTATTATATAGAGTACAGAAACAAAAGCAATTATGCAAAGGACAAAATAGATTTTGTCGAAGGTACATATATTGCACTAATTTGCACCTGAGTATGGGTCATTAATTCCACTGCACTTTTTATCATCTCCTGCTTAATTTCTCTTTTTTTTCCTTTTTTTTCCTCTCTTGGTAGTGTAAATTCATTCTCTAGCTAGAGCTAAGAAGCTAAAAAGATTTAGGTCATGATTAAATGCTCCAGTACCAATGACTATCAGTAGACATAAACCTATGAAAAAAATTCAGTTTCTCAGTTAATTATGAAGATATCTGACTCCACTGCCTTTTTTTCATTCATTTTCAAGACATTTGGTCAAAATAGCACCATTCCATAGTTTCTACATCTAGGAAGTGTAAATGGACACAGACACTTCTATCTTAAATTGACAGTAGGCAGAACATACTAGCCACTGTGATGAAAATTAACTCTACCCCAGCCAAAACCAGCACAACTGGATGTCAAATGATGGCCTTACAGTAAAAGTATTTTCTTTATGTAATCAAGAATGAGGTGTTTGTCTACAAGGGGTTTGTCAGTAAGTTGAAACAAGCCGAATTAAACAGAATGCTCACAGCTTAATCATGGACTGATAAAATGTCTATGTCTTAACCTCTCTCACTGATAAGGACAAATCAAATGACATTTATTCAGTTGTTACTGAATACAATTTCTTCAGTGAATTAAAAAGGGCTTAGTAAAAAAAAAAAAGAAATATATATATAAGCATAATTCTTTAGAATGGTGTACACTATTAAGATGGGAATCAGAAGCAGACATGATAAACAATAAAACTGGCAAATCACATATTTAAAACCAGAAATTTCTAGGTACCTAAGCAATCCTTTCATATGGGCCAACACATAAGTAGCAGATTGTGTCTTAATATGTGGTTACTTTTAATTTCTAGCATCACAAAAGAAATTTGCAAGAAAGAGGTGCTTAAAACATGACCATATATTGTTGGCTCTAAAAGTAGAAGAAACAGATATGGCAGCTACCCATTGCTAGAAAGAATAGAGGTATTCACAATTTCCACCCTGACTGATAACCCCTCTTCAGTTTGAAGGGAATGTTTTCCTTCAAATTTCCCTTCCAGATTTCCCAGATGGCTGAATCTGGGTCAGACGATTCATGATAAAAGAAGTATGTGAAAAGGTGACTCCAAAGATTCATGTGTAGGGTGATGACAACTCTTTGTTCAATTTCTTGATCTGTTTCTACATTTTTCTAGATACAAATGCTACAAAAATATAATGCTGCTGTAAACTCATGGTCCTCATGTCCTGGCTTTAACAGGAAATACTTACCTTAATTAATACTCTGGTTTCTCTTCAGCTTGTATAAATCTTTTGCCTTTTACTAAAGATTTCCATGGAGATGAACAGGCACAAGTGCCAAGAATTTTTATTTTTTTTTCTCATTAGCAACACAGGTGTAGGGCAGGGCTCTCCTCTGGTGAGCAGCAGGGTGATTAAGAGATGCCTCCAGGGAGCACGGGGACCCAGAGCGGGGCAAACAGGAGTGAGTCAGGAGGGGCAAACAGGGGCATGGCACATCCCTGAGGGTGTGGCACAGATCTGAGGGCCTGGCACATCTCTGAGGGTGTTTCATGTCTCAGAGGGTGTGGCACATCTCTAAGGGTGTGGCATGTCTATGAGGGCGTGGCACGTCTCTGAGGGCGTGGCACAGCAGTTTGCCCAGCAGTTTATGCAGGCAGAGCAAACCGGCAGGGTTGCAGGTATTCACCTGCTAGTGGTGTTTTTAGTTGTTTGTTGTGTTTCTGTTGGTTGTTTTTACAGGTTTTTTTTTGTTAGTAATGATTTTTACAGGGTAAAAAACTGTAATTATTAGCAGTGTATGTAACCAAATGGAGCCCTCTGAAAAGGATGTGTCTGTCCAGACCCATTCCTGTGCAGAGTGTTTGAATTTATCAGTGGTACTGGGGGGGGGTTGCAGAAGAAGCCTGCCTGTGTTGTGAGCAGGTGAATGATTGCCTTTCACCAGTGGCCAAGCATAGGGAGGAAGCTGAAAGACTAAGGACTTCTGCCTTGAAAGGCTGCATTTCCCCATTCCACAGGGGAAAAGCTGCAAACAGATACAAATGCTGTCAGTACAAGTCTGCTGCTGCAGCAGCTTCTTCTCAGTCTCAACTAGAAATATGGCATGGCCTTCCTGGGTCCTGCACCTCACAGGTATTTCCTGATGGGTAAAAGTATCTGCTAAACCCTTAAGAAATCTAGGATAAAGGGGATGCTCCCTGTCATCTTTGAGTTGAGAAAGGTGGCCTGTGGATGCCAGGCAGGTCCAGTAACTGGGAGTCACAGCCACCTTCTGGAGGGGAGCTTGTGAGAAGAAAACAGCTCCAGGAAAATGGGAAGGGACGGTGTGGGGGGCTTCTACGGTGGCAGATGGGAGCAATGGAACTCCAGAGGATCAAGCAACCTATAGCTGGACTATCAATATTCGTATCAAAGAGGGTGTTAGGAGACTGCTAGGTTCAGAGAAAGGCAGCTCTAGTAATTGTTTCTTACCATGGGTGGTCAGCCAGAAGTTGAGTATAAAAGATCCCTGGTAGTTGCAAAGTAAGCACTACCAGTGAAAACGCTTTTGAATTTCTCGTTTTCCCAGAAAAATGTCAGGGTTTTTTATGAACTCTCTTCCTGCTGGCATCCTTTGGCCTCAGTCCTTACAGTAGCAGCATGTCCTGCTCTACCAGACAGCATCTTTAGGGTATCCCCTTTCTCTTCTCAATCAGTGCTATCTTTTCTGGTTACACTGAGTTTACAACCAGAATCAATAATATAGGTAAGGCATGAATAATTTATATCCACCAAGATCAGTTTTGGTCTCCCACAGGAGCCTATAAGAGGGATCATTTTGTAAACTCATCTCTCAGGTTTGGGTACTCACTCTGCCACTTCACAACAGCCAGAGTCATGAGACAACCTATACTTCTTGAAACGTGTATTGCAGCTGTCTTTGCTTTGTCAATAAAAAATTGATTCTGCAGATGGGTCTTATTGATATTGTAGGAAGTTTAGCCACATCATTTTTCTTCTCACTTTCCTGCTTGAATTCAGTTCTAAAATATCTATGTAATATCTCCTGCTATATGAAAATATTCATTTGGCCTGACTCCAGCTACATTTATTTTGGATTTATAGTTGTTAACTGTCTTCTGTTAAATAAATGCTGATTTACATTACCTTGAGTCCAACTTCACCAGCCATTATCCCAGGCTTCAGAAATATCCTCTAAAATCTCTCTCAGGTATTTCAAAGTTAACCCACAGCAGCAGACAGGTTAGACAGCCTGACTCATGTTAACAACCAATTTTTTCCCCATCTATTTAATAGCTCGTGAAGTTTAAAAGCCAGGTTCCTCAATTACTTTTTGCATTTCAGCCAATTCATTCTGGTAACGTCTCCCTGTAAAAATGAGATAACATGCTGTAAAGATAAAAGTGTACCAATATGCACTTTACTGAATGTCTGCATTATGGGGGTTCTGCATGTCAGAGCTGCTGTGCTAGTAGAAGATGACTTGAAATAAGCCCTTTAATTGATCTTCACATCAAATGCTCTGAAAAATGTAAAAAAGGGGCTTAGACTGTCAGTAGTAGGGTTAGCTGACAGTGTATTGTCTCCACTCTAATTTCTTCAATGTGCATGGTGATAACAATGGCTAAAATTCATCTGCTGTCATGTGTCAATGTATTTCAACAACCATTAACAACTGGCTGTTAGAATGTTTTCTTGTATTTCTTTCTTGAATATAGAATCACTAAAGAAGTGTCAGGGTATTTTAGCATACTATCTCCTAGGTCATTTGTGGTGCCCATTTTTGCATGAAACATGCTTTTTCACCATCTCTGGCTGTCACAGAAGTTCACAGTGTTTATAGAGAGGAAAAATGTTGGGAAACCGTTCCAGTCTGCTGCAAGCTTTCTGAGAACAGATGTCAGCTACACATAAAAAACCCCCTTGGCTCAACTGAGTTTACCTTATAGACATCCTTGGGCTATTAGAAAAACAACCTTGACTTCTGTTCCCCATCACATAGAATTAGTGTGCTGTTGACTTTATGCTTGATCTAACACCACTGAACTTAGTAGTCTTATAGCAGGGATGAATTCGGCCCTTGGTCTTTAAAGCAATCTTTCCCCTTGTGTGTAACAAAAACACCATATGGTGAGTCCTTGGCTTGGTATCCATAGCTCAGCTTGCTATCACTCCTTTGTGATGCTGTTGCTGGAAAAGGTTAAAGCCTGCAGATCTGGTTCAGTCAATTCAAAATCTGCAGCAACAGAGGGTGAAAAAGGAGTTAACAGAGAGCTTCATCCATAAAAGTCCTCCTGCTCATACTGCGGGGGCTTTACAGGCCCTCACACAGGTTGAATTGTTCACTGTTTATGGAATCATGGACTTGAGATGCACATAGAATCAGAACAGCAATCCTCTTCCTAAAATGTTCAATTATTCCTGTAGTTCAGTCAGTGAGACATTCCTCCTCCTAACTACTTGGAAAGGATAAGCTCCCCTTCACAGCATCTCAAAGGAAGCCTTTGCCATAGAATATGCTCACCAGTAGTACAGCAAGGAGTTAGTGAGCCCTGAGAAGCAGCTTTGTCATAGTGCACAATGTATTCACAAACAATCTGAGGAGCTTCACTCAAAAATTCTCCTCCCCATGTTGAAACTGTCAGCCAGGAAACTACAGTTACCTCAATATATCTGCTGAATTTAGTTGTCCAAACTGCTTTTCCCCTATACTGGTAAAAACCTGTGCTTGCATGTTGCAAACTGGGTGAAATTGCAATTTGACCATGCCAGTTTCTTCAAAGCCTCTTCAGTGGTTTCCTCCCTAAAGCCATATTATGGTATCCCTGTGCCATGACCTGCAGAGCTGCCCCTCTGCCTTTTGCCACCTGCCTTGTAGCAGGATTAGCCCCTGTTTGGTCTGGGTTTTGCCAACCTTTGACTTGCTGTTTGTCTCAAGCATGTCTCCAGTTTCTCTGCTGAGCTGCGTGTGGAAAATAGCTTGCAGATAGAAAATGTCAGTTTGATGCTTTCAGCTCTCCCCCTGAAGCTGTTCAAACACATTCAAGACTTCTGCTGTTGGATATCAAAATACTAAATTAAGATTTTTTCTTATTTCTAGATGGGTTTGTCCATAAAGAAGAATTCAAACACCCTTATATATAAAGAATGATATTGCTTTATCCAAAGTTTTAGGAAGTGTTGAGTTTCTTTTGCAAATAAATTAATTAGTCTTTCACTTGAAAATCAATCCTTTAGGGACTTTTCATGCTGTTTCCAATCATGCACTTGTCTCAGCTAAGCTTAGAAACAGAGAGACAGCTCTTCAAACTTCCTGTATCATTAAAATTCACAGAGCATTTATGGAAGAAGAACCATTAAAAGATTTATTTCAATGTTACTGGTGGGGTTGTTTTCTCTTGTTTTTAATAATTGATGGTTCTTTTTCCTGCAGAACAAGATTGTACACTTGCAGTATGGCACAGAGGAAAATTCACAGAGCATAGATGAGCTTGAGAGGTGCTACCTCTTCTGAGTCCCTCCTCATTTGAGGGGGAGAGGCAAACTTTTCTGAAGAGCAATTCTAGAATGAAAGCCCATTTTAAGGCATATAAATCTTCTCCCAAAGGAGCCTTCTCTGTCAGCTGGTGACAGGCCTGGAGGTTAAAATCTTCAGTACTAAAGTTAGCCTTTGTGGACGCCCTTTCCCATTGCAGGGCTTTTTACTGAACAATCACCTACTTTCTATTTCACAGATTTCTGCCTCATTGGATGCACTGAAGGGAAAAACAGCCTGTGTCAGTACTTATTTATTTTTCCTGCCAGCCTCTCTGTCAACCTGTAGTCTTTTGCTTTATTTACTGCCAACTCTTCAGACCCTACTCCAAGTGCAGAAAACATATCATTTTCCAATCCAACTGTGAGATGAGAGGGTAGGATTGTTCTCCTTTTACTAATCAGGACATAAAGGGCAATGAAATTACAGACATAAAAGAAAACTATAAACGCCATGAGACACATGAGCAGGGTTTGAATGTTCAGAGCAGAGCTCCTGTGGCTGGGGCAGCAGCTGATAAACATTCCAGAGTCTTCATGCTCTGTATGAACCAGTACCAGTGGAGGATGAGATTCACAACTTAGCAGAGGATTTTCCAGCTTTGATGGCTGCTGTGTCTCTAGCATGTGTGGGTCCATTTCTGCACTTGGAGAGATGCTTTGCCCTCCCCTAGGCCTGCATCTCCCTGTCCCTTTAGCTTGTTCCTATCCAGTCCTCTTCTGAACTTCTTAGAGGCTCTCTCTCTATGATCCTGAATGCCATACTCTCATCTGCAGATCTTTATTCAACTCTTTGCATCCTTTATTCATCTCTTTGCATGCGTTCACTATTTTC